CCGACGAAATCCCAGGTCCTTAGGATGGTCTGATACTTGCGACTGTAACCAGTTCCGCGCTTTCTTCTGCAATCGGCCATCTACCTGGTACGTAATCTCGAGTCCTGGGGTACGCCCTAATGCCTCAGCCGCGCGTTTGCGGCGGGCTCTGTAATCCGTCATCACCGCGTCGTGATACACATTGAAGAGGGGGGGAGGACGGATCCCCCTCCCTGAGTCCTCACTCGGGGGTCCAAGGGTCCGACAGACCACCTAGCACCCGGACCCGACATTCGGTGTGGTTGCGCAGGGCTTTACAGACTCTGAGCATGCCATCGGGGCACCCTCTGCGCGCTAATAAGGTCCACAGAGCAGGCCGGCAAACGCGGGGGTAAGCTTTTTCAACGTCGAGGCTTCCTCATTCCGGAAAGCCGGGGCTTCCTCCACCAGGCGGCGGGTGACCTGTAAAGCGTCGTCAGTGCCCCGGCTGCGCCGGAATCCCGACTGCGACCCTCCCATCCAAGGCTCGGACCGCACACTTATGCGAGACGCCACCACCCGCGCAACCAATTTGGACCCGACGGACAGCAGGGCAATACCCCGCCACGTATTCTTGCCCTTTCGGGCCCCCTTCTGCTTCCAGAGTGGATAAACCAACGCTTCTCGCCACTCGCGGGGCCAAGCAGCCGCTTCCTCTCCGTCCTTTGCGGTCGCCGCGCAATTCCACATGTTCCCGGCGAGATCGAATGCCGCCGCGCGGAACGCCGCGCCTCCATATTTTGGCGCTTCCGACACAAATCCGCCCCCCCCGGTTGTCGCCGTCTTCATTTTACTCACACACTGGTCTAGTTCGATGTCGTTGGGTGGCTCTGCGAGCAACCGCTCGGCGGTGGAAGCGAGGGGGATGTTTCGCCACACGTGGTCGGCAACCGCCCCAACCGTACCAGAAATCTGCGCAAAATGTTTGCGCCATGCTTCTCTCTCTCTTCGTCGACATTTTCTGTCGACACGACACCAGAACCCCGACAATCATGGCGCCGATTCTTGAGCTCACCGAACAGTCGGAAGAGCTCTGATTGATCTCCTATCCTGGCGGCTGCAGACGCTTGCGCGCCGATGTCGGTCCGATACTCTCGCTCCCACCGCCTTAAGGCACGACGCCGTTCCCGGGCTACTCTACGACGTTCCGCGAGGGCCGCAGGGGCCCCGGCGTCGTCTGAAAGGGCGTGAGCTACCCTGGCGCGCTCCATGTCCTCGTCGAGGCTCCTCTTTTCCTCTTCATGGCCCCGTAACCAGGGCACTTGCGCCCTGGCTTGACGCTTTCCCAACACCTGTAATCCCAGGGCACGAGCGATGTCGCACAGTTCCTTCCACCCCAATGGGGCCGCAAGATTCAGCATCCCGTCAAGACCTGCCCGTAGTGAGCCCGGGCCTCTTTAGCCGCAGGGGATGACCCCGCATCGCCGAGTAGTTGGGGACCGCTGGGCGGCTGTCGGTGCGACGGCCACGAAACAGCCATCTACCGCTCACGGTAATTCCCACTTCCACCGGCTCGTGGTCCGTATACGCGGACCAAGCCACGATTCCGTCCTCTCGGACGCGCCACACGTCGTCCGAGCGACGGCGTTTTCGGCGTTTTGCCCTCCTTTCCCCCTGCACCCCCCGGGGCCGTAGTGCAAGGTGCGCGCGTATCGAAGCTGACTGGTCTCTCAGTCGGACCATCACGTGGTCTAGCTGGTGCCAAGACCGATACCGTTGGTGGAGCCAGGTGCCGGGCAGCCTCTGGGCGAACGCCGTACTTGCTACGAACAACGCCTCTTCCTGACAGAACGCCAGGAGGTCCACACCCGTTGCCGTCCTACGACGCTCCCCGTGGACCCCCAAAGCCGCTCGTTCGTCGACGTCTTGCGGCCTTCCCACCTCAGCGTTCCAATCGCCACCCACCACGAGGAGATGATCTGCTCCCCTGTTCCGTGTCTCCACCCAGCGGACCTCGTCGTAGAAGCGCTCTCGCGCCTCTGATTGTTGAGATCCTGACACCGGCGCGTACGCGCACAACAAGGACAGCCCTCGCCGAAAACCTTTCCGAGGAAAAATCAATCCCATGCACCTGGTGCTTTTGCGCTCGTGCCCACCTCGCACTACAACCTTGCCCCCCCCCCTTCCCTCCAGACCCGTGCTAGCTTCGCGTTCAAAACTATCCCCACGCGGCCGCGGATGATCAGAGTCCACTTCTGTCCTCTGCAGATATACTCCCGCACGCCGTTGTGAGCAAAGGCCAGATCACTGAGCAGACCATACGACCACCCTCGGACCGCCAGGAGGGTCAGGATACACTGGATCTTCATCTCCGGGTCCCCCACCCCCCCGAAAGCCCCCAACTTACGAGTGTTCCAAGTGCCCCCAACGAGGGTCTGAGCGCGGGGGCGTCTCTGCTTACGCAAAATGGATAGGCGATGCATTGCCTGAGACCTTTTTCGCAATCTACGCTCCTTTTTGCGAGCCTCGCGAGCCGTCCTCCGACGCTCGCGTCTCTGCGCCCTCCTATGGGACCTACTCTCTTGGTGGCCCTCAAATTTCTGTCCCACGGGTGACTGTGGAGGCGGCCGCCCCGACTGACCATGGCCAGAGCCACCGTCAGCCGACACAGCCGCCCCTCCCCCCAGATACCCTGCCGGCTCGCCGGGGCCAGTGGCGTAGCCGGGATCCCCATTCCCCCTGGCAGCCGAGGAAGGTCCGGAGACCCAACCGCCTCTACCGCCTGATGGTGGGGGTGGGGTGTGTGAAGTCCCGCCCCCAAACGAATTCCCCGAAGACTCTGGGGACGGCTGAGCCGAGAACCAACCGAGAGACCCACCGCCAGAGACCGACAGCCCGTCCCCCACCAGAGATCCAGAGGGGGCGCCCCCTGAGGGGCGTGGGCTAGCCGGTTCCTCGTCCATGGCCCCAGCACCCCTCAACCAAAGCAGGAGACACAATCCGAAGACCCATGGATTTACTTTCCCCCCAGTTTTACACATGTCTCCAGCGAATAGGTGACAGCAACATGCTCAATCAGTCATTTGGCCCACGCACAGGCGAGAACGGCATGCTCAACGCAAGATGTCGCTGGCGCCTCGGCGACGGCAACTTTTTCAACCAGACAAGCGGCCCACGCACAGGCGAGAACGGCATCCTCAACGAAGGATGTCGCCGGCGCCCAGACGACAGCAACATTGTCAATCATACATGCGGCCCACTCACAGGCCGCAGCATCATTCCGAGACAAGCGTGTCGCCAGAATGCAGGTGTCAGGCCCATTCCGCGCGGGCCAGGCTCGGTGTCAACGAGGTCTGGCCGACGTTAGGTGGATAGTCCACGTTAGGGTGGGTCTGCACTGAGACCCTAACATTAGGTCGGACATGTCCTCCTCCAGGCGAAACTGTCAGAAAATACCCAAGAATACTCAAAAATAGTCGAGAAATCGTCCCAATACTATTTTTTAACTATTTCTGAATTCTCCTGCTGCAGAAGGACACGCCCGACTTAACCCTAACAATAGCCAAGGCACAGCCAGTTCTCTGGTGCCCCGCAGCGCCCGCTGGCGCTCTCTGGCAGATGTCGGGGGCCCGTGGCACAACGCCGCACGGAGCACGGTGCGTCACAATTCAGCCCACAGGGGAGAGGAGGGGCTCTGAATGTCGGCGGAGAGCGAAGGGGGAAGTTCCTTGCGACCCAAAAGGGGGTCCAGCTGAAAGGGGGTGGTGCAATAAATTTGGGCCAATTGTACTGCAAGTGTATTGCGCCAGAGACTTGTATTACATTGTATTGCAACTAATGTATTGCACGCGAAAGCCCAGCAATACATTTGCGCACTGGAATATACTGCACACCCCAAATCTACTGCAACCCCACAAATATATTGCACCAAAGCTACTGCACCACCCCCTTGTCGCTGGACCCCCTTTTGGGTCAACCCGATTGAAGTGAGAAGGAGGGAGGAGGCCTTCTCAGAAGGCGGCGCGGCGTCTCCGAGGCCCTCCGGCCTTCTGAGAAGCTCTCCACGTCTTCGGGGGAGGGCCAGCATAACTTCTCAGAGAGCCGAAGGACCTCCGAGCCTTCTGAGAGGGCCCGCCCCCTCTCTCCTCCTCCTCCAGGCTGGCCGCCGATGCAAAGGGGCCCCGGGACACACAAATACATAGACACTCATACCAGGATTTCCCGCATAGTTTCCCATGTTGCCTGTGTTTTCGTGTTCCCCCCAGCTCCCACATTTTCCCATATTTTCTTGGGAGTCGACGATTGATTGTGTCTGTGTGTTTTGTTCCCTCCTGACGATGATGAGAGGGAACGTTAGGGGGGGGACCCGCGAAGAGGGGGAAACGTCGACCTGGAGTCGCAGCACATCGCCGGTGGATCGGCGATAGGCCCCCGCCAGCGAGACCACACGGTCCAGGGCGGGACGGGCCTCTCGGGCCCCTATCGGTCGGCGATGAAACTAGGCGACTGGGGATCGGTGCATCCCTTCCTGAGCCCATCCCCCCCTAATGTTGCCCCTGACTTGATTGCTGAGTACGGCTATATTCGCAGAGCAGCAGCCACTTGTAAAATCCCACATCGGCGGCATCAGCGCCTCGGCAGGACGCCTTGAGGCAACATGACGGCAGCGGAGAAGCAACATGATGGCAACGAGGTTGCAGCAACGCGGCGAACGTGACAGCAGAGTCAACACCAGCAGAGGGGAAACAGAGCTGACGATGGGCACCCATACGGCCGGTTCTGTTCGTGACGACTTGTGCGTCTGGATCGTTCAGCCTTGATTGATCGGGGGCCTTGCGATGCCGAGGATCGCTCGATGTCGGACGATTCCAGGCAACCAGCTGCGCTCCACCTTGAACGACCGAGCGCGGGTCGCAACTCGTGTGTTCTGCGATTCCGTCGCGCTCTGAGAACCACAGCGACCCTACCTGCTGCACACTCACCGATTCGCACCCCTCCGATTCCTCTTGGCACCTCTTCTCGTCATCCCTCTCTCTCCCCTCCTCGTACATGATGACGTGGTGGACGTTATTGAAGTCGAGTCCGCGGGACGCCAGGTTTGTGCACACCTGCTCGGACGCACGACGACTCCGCAGGGGACTTAAGAGGGGACCTGATTATACATACTTTTAGGTACATATATATATATGTGTGTAACTACCGACTAGATATATATATATATATAAATACATGTAACTATAGCCTGGATATATAGACACATATATCTATGCAACTACAGACTGGATAACAAGTAGATATATGGATAAACGAAGCTTACGATCTGGATGCCCAGACTCCGAAGTAGGCTTCCACCATGAGTCAACATCGCGACACGGGGTGGACCAGCGACGAAGGCTGCATCCCAGTAGCGGGGAGGAAAAGCGGCGCAAGGTATGAACGATGAGGAAAGAGCCGGAGCGAAGATCAGGACAACATGCCAGACATCTGAGTACACGATGAAGCGATTCAAATACGAATGATGGGCAGGGGGTGTGACTCTCGTCGCGTAGGCAAGCTGGCGCGAGAGGGAAGACGGATAGACCAAAGGGATGGCACAACACGGCCGATGAGCTCAAGGGAGAACTGCACGCCAGCCCAACGTGAGCGCTCTGAGTGCCAACGGCCCGTACCATCGCACCACTGTGGCGAAGCAAGACGCCACTGGGGGGCCCCAACTAAAACTGGCTGAAGCTGGTACCACGCCCCAGCCCGCACGGTGGCGAGCTCATGCAGCCCCCGAGCCTATCAGAGAACCGCTCCCGTGGAGGCATGTCAACACGCGCACCCTTCCAGACAGGCGTCGCCCCTGAACTCCCAGGTGCCCGTCTTGCGCACATCTTGGAACGGGGCGCTTCCCTCCCTGAGCGGACTTCCTGCATTGTGCAAATACCGATGCAAATACCGATGATGGCCGTAACCATCAGGCCTGGAATCGGCACCCCGAAAGAGGTGGGCCCTAAACAGAAGGTTAGTGCACTCTCGATGTGCAGACTGATGGCATACATGTTGCAACTCATGGGGTGTAACTGATTATCTGAGATGTAGCCTATGACACAGGGGTGACATAAAGCAACTAATAAGTTGCAGCCTGCGGAATGCAATCCGCCACCGTGCCCCCTTGGCAAATTGAGGCGTGGTATAACCTGATCGGACAAGAACGGGAAGCGCCGCTTTAGTCCAATGTGTTTACTGGGCGAAGAAGAAGAAAAGGAAGGCGAGGGCGACGAGGAGGCGATGACGAGGACGACGTGGAGAATGTGAGGATAGCGAGGAGGAGATCGAGGACAACGAGAAGGAAGAGAAGCACGAGGACGAGGACGAAGAGAACGAGGGCAAGTACATGGAGGAATGCGGAGGACGATGACGACGACTTGACAAGCTGAGGCGTGGTAGGATGCCAAGTGCTGCCTGGTATGGTCTCTGTAAGACTTCAGCAGGCCCCCCTCCCGGTCTCCTGGCATCATCCGAGATTGCCCGGGCAGGCCGCCCAGGTCGCCAGGAGGGCGCCACGTGTTTTCAAAAATGCACCGAACAGCACCCAAATAAGACCCCAAGGGTAAGACCCCAAGAGCCGTCCAAGGGGACCAAGAGGGGCCTCCACGAAATCAGGGCCGAGGCCAGGAGAGCCTCGAAATACCGGAAGCCTGCAGGTGTTCATCGGTTTGCGTTTCCTCGTTTCGTGGCTCAAGACTGTTCCAAGAGGGCCTCGGAGAAGTCAGACCGATGCCGAAAGAGCCCAACGAGGACCTCCAGCGCCCCCAAGACGGCACATGACAGCCCCAAGATGGCCCCGAGGCGGCCCAACAGGGGCCCAGGACATCCCAAGAGGGCCCCGCGACGGCCTTGGAGGGCCCCAAGAGGGCCCCAGGGCAGCCCCAAGAGCCTCACCTGACGGAAAGAGAGGGGGCCCAAGACGGCCGAAGACTGCATCAAGACAGCCCAAGGAGGCCCCAAGTGTGCCCCGAGAGGGTCGCAAAAAAGCCCAGGACAGCCCCAAGACGGCCCAGCAGGCGGCACCTCACCCGAGCTGAAAAATTGATCAGAAATGTTGTTTTTGAGATTTTGTTATTAACAGAAACGAGAGGCGTCACACGCTACGGCCCTTGATGTTCGATGCATAGCCACACAGAGTGCTACGCTGGCACAGTGGCAGGACTTGCCGTAGGCAGCTGGATGTTCAAGAACACCATCTCAGGGCACCACCAGGATAAAACCGAGGAAGCCATCAGGGAGCAAGAAGTAAGGCATCGCAGGGCACCAACCATCAGAGCACCACACCTAGGGCACCAGGGCAACAGTTATCCTGGCGGAGGACCCAACGATGTGCCGCTTTGAATACCGCAGTTGTGAATGTCGTCTTCGGTGGAGCCTCCTGTGGGGCCACGAAACATGTGAGGCATGTGCCGAGGTCGGCGGGGCGGCCGCATGTGGACGTGCCCGCTGGTGCCTCGGGTCAAGCTCCCTCCACGAAACGTTTGAAGGGCGCCCCAGGGACCTCAAGATGGCACCGAAGACAGCACACGAGGGACCCCAAAGGGGCCAGGACGGTCACAGTGTCCCCAACCCACCCCAAGAGCATCCCAAGCGAATCCCAAGAGGGCCCCAAGAGGTCTCCGATCATCCGCCGACCCCCGCCTTCGAGGTGCGACTTTTGCTTCGCGCCCCCGCTCATTCTCATTACTAGTGCCTCTGGCACGATGAGTAGGTTAACCCCCGCTCACCTGCCACCTGCTGTCTCTCCTGCTCCTCTCGCTCGACACAAGATTGTACGATATTCGTGTTTCACCACGGCTTGGCTGACTGCACCGCTGACAGCTCTGTACCAAGAGGAAGAGCAACGGCATAGACATACACTCTGGGAGCTCCGCGCGGATTTCCTGGGTCGGCGCTGGGCCCCCATCCCTGGCGCGCGCAGCGCGCCTGGGGTGGCGCCGGAGGCGCCGCCAGGGGGCCCGGGCGCAGATCCAAGAGATCCCCACGGAGCTCCGAAAGTGTATGTGTATGTCGCGCTTGCTTCAAGGATTGATCATTTCCCAATCAGAGCTTGCCTCTGTAGGGGTCCTAGTGGATTCGTATGGTTAGGTGAGGTTTGCCACCGATTTCCACGGCCCGCCCGGGTGCCCCGGGGCCCCAGTGCCCGGGTGCCCCGGTGCCCGGGTGCCCTATAGCCCTGTAGCCCTATAGCCCTACAGCCCTATGACCCTATAGCCCTATAGACCTATAGACCTATAGACCTATAGCCTCATAGCCCTATAGCCCTCTAGCCCTATAGCCCTATAGCCCTATAGCCCTATAGCCTTATAGCCCTATCACCCTATCGCCCTAGAGCCCTATAATCCTATAGCCCTATAGCCCTACCGCCCTACAGCCCGATAGCTCTATGCCCTTATAGCCCTGTAGCCATATAGCCCTATAGCCCCATAGCCCTATAGCCCCATAGCCCTATAGCCCTACAGTCCTATAGCCCTATAGCCCTACGGACCTATAGCCCTATAGATCTATCCCCCTAGAGCCCTATAGCTGTGTAGCCCTGTAGCCCTATAGCCATATAGCCTTATAGCCTTATAGCCTAGCAGCCATATTGCCATATAGCCTTATAGCCCGATATGTATACATATATCTATCTATATATATATATGCCTATAGCCCTATAGCCCTATAGCGTCATAGCCCTAATCACAATAGTCATATAGCCCTGTAGACCTATAGCCCTATAGCCTTATAGCCCCATAGCCCTATAGCCATATAGCCCTATAGTCCGATAGCTCTCTATATATATACATGTATTCATATATATATATATATGTGTCTATAGCACGATAGCCCTATAGCCCCAAAGGCCTATATCCCAATAGCCCTATAGCCCTATAGTCAGACAGCCCTATAGCCCCATAGCCCAATACACTCATAGACCTTTGGCCCTATAGCCCTATAGCCCCATAGCCCAAGAGCCCCATAGCCCCATAGCCCGATGGCCCTACAGCACTTTAGCCCTATTGCTCTATAGCCCCATAGCCCTATTGCCCTATAGACCTATAGCCCTATGGCCCTATAGCCCTGTAGTTCCATAGCCCTGTAGCCCCATAGCCCAATTGACCCATAGCCCAATAGCCCCATAGCCCTGTAGCCCTCAAAAGACTGTGATTGTGGTCTTCCTCTGGTATCATCGTACATCCGTACTGTTTCGAGCCCAAGGGCGGACCAGGCTCACGGGGTAGACGCGGATGCCCGCGGGAGGCAAAGCTCAGGAGGGTAGGCACGGCAGCACGCAGGCCCGGCACCATGACGTCGGCACCACCGCCGCTAAAGTCGCGCCAGATCTCGGCGCGCTTCTTGGGGTGGATGTTGCCTGGCTCGGTGCCGCCAGGGCTCTTTAGACAGCGCGTGGGAGTAAGGAGGCGCCAGGATCAAGAAGGTTCAGGATGGGAGGAGGCTAGGGGGGGAGGGGGAGGGGGAGAAGACGGAGGGAGGGGGGAGGAGGATGAGGGGAAGAGGAGGGGGGAGAAAGGGGGGGGAAGAGGATGAGGGGGAAGAGGGGGAGGAAGGGGGGTAGGGGGAGGAGCGGGAGGAGGGGGAGAAGGATGAGGGGGGCGGCGAGGACGGGAGGGGATTCGAGAGAGGGCGGGGAAAGGAGGGGGAGGCGGGAGGAGAGGGAGGACAAGAGGAGGAAGGCGAGGAGAGCGAAAATAAGGAGGACTAGGACGAGAGTAAATCCAACCCCTTCTCCGCCGCGTGAAAATTCCGCTCATCTTCATGATCACCATCCTCACCGACCTCTCCGTCTAGATGTATCCTCTCATCCCCCCTATCTCGGCATGTGCATATACAGCATTATATGTATAGATGCACGCATGTGATTGTACGTGTGCATACATGTGTGTGAACATATGTGCCTATATACATATATGCACCTGTATATATGTATATATATGTTGTGCGCATATGTGTGTGTGCCAATGCATGCACGCATAGAGCTATGTGCCGATTCCTCTATGTATATACACATGTGTACATGTGTGTATGCAAACACACATGTGTAAACAAAACTGATATGCAGGTAAATACAGATGTATCAAATGCACTTGACATATACGAATGTGAATGCGTGTAATTATGTGTTGTATATATGCATGTATACACATCCCCCATGAGAAGTCCCTCCCTCCCTCCTGATCTTTGTTTGACTATCACTCTCTCCCTTTACGCTGTTGCTTTAAATATTGGCCCCGCGGAGGAGGAGAACGAGGGGGAGGAGGAGGAAGAAGAGGAGGAGGAGGAAGAGGAGGAGGAGGAAGAAGAGGAGGAGGAGGGGGAGGAGGAAGAGGAGGAGGAGGAGGAAGAGGAGGAGGGAGAGGAGGAGGAGGAGGAGGAGGAGGAGGAGGATGGGGGAGGAGGAGGAGAGGAGAGGAGGAGACGGAGGAGGAGAATGAGGAGGAGAGGAGAGAGGAGGTGGGAGGGAGGAGGAGGGGGGAGGGGAGGAGGGAGGAAGGAGGGGAGAGAGAGGGAGATGAGGCAGGCGCGGCGCGAGCGGCCAGGGCGGCCCGCTGGGCCGAGGAGCAGACCACCCGAGCGGCGGCGGAGCGCGAGAGGCAGGCACGAGGGCCCCCGAGCAGGTCGCAGGCCGGCGGCGCGGCAGGCCCAGCGAGGGGCGGACGGCGCCCAGCGATCTGCGCATAGGGCCATCCTCCTCCTCCTGCGCTCCTCCTCCTCCTCCTCCCTGCCTCCTCCTCCTCCTCCTCCTCCCCTCCTCCTCCTCCTCCTCCCCTCCCTCCTCCTCCTCCTCCTCCTCCTCCTCTCCTCCCTTCCTCCTCCTACTCCTCCTCCTCCTCCTCCTCCTCCTCCTCCTCCTCCTCCTCCTCCTCCTCCTCCTCCTCCTCCTCCTCCTCCTCCTCCTCCCCCCCTCCAACTGATGGTGGTGGTGGTGGACGACAAGCCCATCAGAAGGGGATGGCGGAGCGAGGGGAGGGCCCCGAAGCCCGAGCAGAGGCCCCATGCGATCAGCGCACGAGGCCCAACCCGGCCCTCAGCACCCGGAGGGCCGCGCCCCCCGCGACCGCTGGGGCGAAAGCAGGACGCGCCTTGGCTGGAGGGGGCGGCACGGGGATGGCGCCCTCGCGACCGCTGAGAAGCTAGCAACTGCGACGAGGTCCCGGGAAGCAGCCCGCCTTTGCGGTCACACGGGACTCGCCCATCTTGCCAGCCCCCTCGAGTCTCGGCCTCTGGGGGCCCTTACGGGGCCTCGGGACTGTCAAAAAACGACTCAGGATGAGAAACCGGTCCCGGAGAATGGGTCCGGACCTCTGGGGGTCACGTCATGAAAAAATCATGACGTCAGGGGTCTGGGTTTGATGACCTGGACAAAGTCGAGTGCGAAGAGCACGAGAATGCCCAACTCCATGCTATCAAAGAGGGGCTCCAGAAGATGAGGACCCTGCCTGCTGGCAAGACTGACGAAGTCCAGTCTTGGCTGGACAGGGCCGCCAGGATCAAGGCTGGCCAAGAAGCGTCGTGGAGCCGGCCGTGGGGCGGCGCCTGAGGCAACCAAGCCGGTAAAGAGCGCACCGTCTGGCAAAGCTGCGGGTGGCGGTGGTGCTGGCAGCGGCACGGACGCTTCACGGGACACAGGTGCAGCGCAGAGACGGAGGCGTCCCCCGCAGAGGAGGCGGCCCGCCCCTCCGCGGCCGAGCTCGAGGCAGCTGCCAGGGCTGGGGCGCAGAGGAGGGCGGCGCTCGGCAGCTCGTCGGCACCCGGTGCCAAGGGGCGGGGCCGCGGGCCCGGACCCGAGACGGCAGCTGCGTCGGCTTGGGAGGGCAGCGCCAGGTGCCGCGGCCCCGTCCGCGGTGGAGGAGCCGAGCACGCGGGCGCCAGTCGTGCCTTCCGAGGAGGGCCAGTGCTGGAAGCTTGCCCTTCGGCACCCTCACCGCCACGGGCGATCGAGGCGAAGCAGGCGAAATGACAACGACGAGGGACGAGAGGAAGGCTCGGAGGCGAGCCAGGGCGGCAGCAACCGTCGAGCAGCGTGCGAGCCAGCATCGGTTGTGTCTCCTCCAGCTGCCAGGGCCGCAGGCGCAGCCCGAGGAGTAGACGGGGAGGGCGAGCGCCAGGGAGAAGACGCGAGGGACGGGGCCCGCGGCGTGCGACCCGACCCCCAGGCCGACCCACAAAACCACCACCGAGAGCGGCAGGGGAGGAGAGAAGGCAAGGGTCCCGGGGGGGGGAGAAGACGCGAGAGATGGGGCCCGCAGCGCAAGACCCCCAAGCTGATCCACACACCCACCACCGAGAGCGGCGCCAAACTGAGAGGGGAGGAAAGGGGAGAACTGTCTCAGGGGATGGGAAAGGAAGGAAGGGAACCCACAGAAAGCGTACGCGCCCACCGACGTACATGAACACGGCCTCCCAGTCCGCGAGACCAGCCGCGTGAAACGAAGGTTCGCGCAGTGCATACTCTCGAAACCAACGTAGATCCACGTACGTGTGCGTCCTTCTTTCGCTCCTAAGAAGGGGGGACATTGCCGTGGAATCGGCGATGCATCGCCGACAGGTCGGCGACAGGCCACGGACAGCGAGACTGCACGCTGCTGAGCGAGTAGGGAGGCCTTGGGCTCCGATCGGCTGCGAATGGGCGATTGCGGTCGATGCACTATTCGGCGGCGCGCCCGGGGGGGAGTGAGAAGGAGCAGGCTTCTCAGAAGGCGGCGGAGCTTCTCTCAGAAGCCCTCCGGCCTCCTGAGAAGCTCTCTGTGTCTCTGGAGGAAGCTTCCGAAACCTCTCAGAGGCCCTTCCGAGCCTTCTGAGGAGGCGCGCTGTCGAATGGGGCATCCATACGTGGACCCTACCCCTGCAGATCCGATGTCGGTAAAAAAAAAAAAAAAAAAAAAAAAACAAAAAAAAAAAAAAAAAAAAAAAAAAAAAAAAAAAAAAAAAAAAAAAAAAAAAAAAAAAAAAAACAAACACGACGGCAGGGGCTCAGCATTCGGAGGACTTCTGCGGCCAACGAAGCCCCAGCGGGGGCGCCCGATGCCCCAGTGTCGGTTGGACCCGCAGGGGTAGGGATCGTCACCGGTCGCAGGTGCATCACCCCCGTGGGCCCGATTCCTCCCCAACGTTTGCCCCCTTCCCAGACCCCCTCGAGTCATGAAAAAAAATCACGGCGGAAGGTGTTTCGCTATTTTCGGCATCTGGCCCTCCAAACAAAGATGACTCAAGATGAAGAACCGGTCCCGGGGAATGGGTCCGGAACCCTGGGGGTCGCGTCACGAAAAAAGTAATGACGTCGGGGGTCAGGGCTGTTGGTGGGTCATGACTCGGCTCTCCCGCGGCCGCTCGGGACGATCGAGGCACCCCCAGGACGCCCTCAGCGAGGCGCAGCTGCTGGAGCCCATCCCGAGGCTGGGAGATGACCGAGCACGGACGAAGACGTCCGAAAACCTCGACGCTCCCCACCCCCAACGTTGAAGGGGCCCTGGGACACACAACTAAACACACACACACACAAAAAAAAAACAGGATTCCCCATACTTTCCCCTACTTTCTGGGCTTCGCTCTCCCCCCACACTTCCCATAGTTTCTCTAATCTAGTTCTGGGGAACCGACGATTCATGGTGCCTGTGCTTCGCTCTCCCCTCCCGGAGCGCTGCCCCCGACCCGTGCGTACACCCGGGCCCTGCCGCTCTTCTGCTTGCAGCCTCAGGGGGCCCCAGCGTGCCCCGCCGCGGCCCCTGCCCGCGTCGCATCCGCGTCGAACCCACGTCGGACTCGTCGCATCCGCGTCGGACCCGCGCCGGAGCCGCGTCGCATCCGCGCCAGGTCCATGACGAGGCCGCAGTGAGCCCGCCTCGGGCACGCGAGAAGTCGCGAGCTTTCTTCTGGGGGGGCGGGCGAGGCCCCCCCGGACGACGCAGCGTGGCCCCTGCGCCCCTCCCCGCGCGTCCCGCGGCCGGGCGGTGCCGTGCATGGCCACGGCGCTGACGCCGTGCTCGCGCATGCCCCGCGCCACGGCCTTGCAGGACGTCACCCGGTTCGTGAAGACGAGTGTCTTGCGGCCGACGGCGGGCACCTGCGCACCGCCGGGGAGCCTCCCCAGCTCTTGTTTCGTGGATGCCATGGCAATGGACACCCTAACGCTCCGATCATGGAAGTAAAAATGTGTCTAACATGTTCTGAAAGTGTTCAACCGTTTTCGACATCTGGGAATTATTTGGCAACATGTTTCCTCTCCATTCATCGTCCTCCACATCCACATCGCTTGTTCGAGCCCGGCGTTTTCCAGCGATTTCGGCTCCCTGGGGCCCGCGAGCGGGCCCCGCGGGCCGCAAGAGGCCCGTGTGGGCCCAGAGGTGGCGTCTCGTCCCGACTCCCGCAGCACGCCGGTCGGAAGAAGTACAGTCGGGGTGGATTGGAGTGGACACTCGAGAGGACACAAGACCCTTCCGATGGCCACATTGCCGTTTGAACGTAGAGGGCATGGGTCGCGAAACACAGGACACAAGGGTACCCTTGTTTGAGCAGGGCGACCTACTAATCAAGCTCGACTTTAGGAAGTAGGCAGGCGGATAAAGTAGATTGGGTTCAGGCCCTCCCAGAGAATAGCACGACGCAGCAAGAGCATATCGGTTCTTGAAGTAGGAAGGCGCTCAAAATAGATTGGGATCTGGGAGTCCAAAAATACCTCCTTCAACGACCGGCGTGGGCCCCGTGGCCCCGCGGCCCATCAGCGGGAGTCGGGACAAGAAGCTACCTCTGGGAATGGGGCTGGGACCCGTGGGGCCCCGATCGAGTCAAGAGGACTGATGGGCTCGACTTGGAGGGGCCCAGGGACACACAGATGAGAGGAATGATTGGCTCGATTTGAAGGGGCCCAGGGATACACAACTAAAGAGGACTGATTGGCTCGATTTGACAGGATTCACCATATTTCCCGTACTTTCTGGATTTCCACACACCCTTCCCATACTATCCGTACGTTCCCCCGGGGATCGACGATTGTGTGCCTTCGTTGTCTGTGTTTTTCCCCTCCCGACGTTTGTCTTAATCTTATCGGGTTTCGTGAAGACGAGCGTCCTGCGGCCGACGGCAAGCACCTCCGCACCGCCCAGGGCACGAATGGCAAGGTTTTCTTGCGTCTTCGTGGACTCCCAAAACGTGTTCCAGCATCGGAATGCTGATCATGAAGTGGAAAATCCTGAGGGCCCCGCGCGGCAACCACATGCCCAGGACGACAGTGTGTTCCTCTTGCACCCGGGCATGATGGCTTCCGCTCTTGCACCAGCGCGCTCGAGAGAACACTTGGCGGATCCAATCCGATTTCTGCCCGCGCGGACCCCATTTCAGGTGTCGCGGAGCTGACCTCCACCGTCTTTCACGCAGCTCCGACTTATACATGTTGTGAATACGTACTATGAGACTAAATCAGGGGACCGAGTGAAATCGAATATGTGGCACCCAAGCCCGCCACTATTGAGATTGTCCTGGGGAGGGGCGTTTGTTTACTAACTGCCACGGACAAGTCGCGCGTTGACTCGAGGAACCGATCAAACCTTACCGCACACGGGTCGCTCCAAACATGAATAGGTCTCTCCTCGCCCCCCTCGGGTCCACGTCGGACTTCTGTCGGGTTCACGTCGGAGCACGTCGGATTCAAGTCCGACTCACGTCCGCGCGAGCGTCGACACATCTCTTGTCGAGCGGACGTGTAAACTAGACGACACAACTGTTGCGCGCCGCGTGAGGCCTCCAGGATTTTCCTCATTCAGTAGGAGCTCGACCACAAGAAACCTTCCACAAGAGACCCAACCCCGAGTCCCCAGGACGTCCATTGACTTTTCGTGTGGGAGCGGCACGCCTTCCTTAGCAAAATCATCGAAAAACAAGAAATCCAGGGCACGCAAACGATTTCTGATTCGGCGTTTCGACATTGGGTGGAGGGGGCGAGGGGGGTGTCTGGCTCTGGACCTCTGCTTAATGCGACTGCTTGCAACAGTGCGTCCGATGGGGGGAGACCCCACCTGCTCGAAACAGGCGCCAAAAACAGCCAAGATCCACTCCAGTGGGGCGGAGGGGAGGGGGTGCGAAGGCACGCGCCGATCGGCAAAACAATGGATAAGAAAACGATCACCTGCCCCGCCGCCGACGGAAGAAGTGTTGTGGGGGGGGGGGGGGGGCGACGGAGGCCCCCGTCGCCCCGAGGGGTCGTCGGTCGACGACCGAGTCCCCAAAGCTCCTCCTTTTCCTCGTTCTCATCCTCCTCCTCCTCCTCCTCCTCCTCCTCCTCCTCCTCCTCCTCCTCCTCCTCCTCCTCCTCCTCCTCCTCCTCCTCCTCCTCCTCGCTCCTCCTCCTGTTCCTCGTCCTCCCTCCTCCTCCTCGCAGGGTGTTTCGTGGCACGGGCGGCCCCCGCAGCAACGTCACCCTGGGCGCTTGGACCGCCTCCCGCACGGCCACCAAAAGCCCCCAAGCCTGGGCCCGCAAAAGGCCACCGGGCCGGGCGCCTCCCGGTGCAGAAGAGACAAACAACAGGCAACAGAAAACGACGGAGAGAGCTTGTTCCTGCTCGGCCTCTGGGGGCCCTCACCGGGCCCCAAAGGCCGTCAAAAAACTAGTTGCTCGGGGCGAAAGACGGGTCCTAGGGCTGGGGAGCCACGCTGGGCCAAAACAACAAAAACATCAGCAGCATCAGCAACAACAACCAAAACAACAACAACAACAACAACAACAACAACAACAACCACCACAACCAACCAACCAACCAACCAACCAACCAACCAACCAACCAACCAACCAACCAACCAACCAACCAACCAACCAACCAACCAACCAACCAACACAACAACAACAACCACCAACCAACCAACCAACCAACCAACCAACCAACTAACCAACCAACCAACCAACCAACTACCCATCCAACCTACCAACCCTATAAATAACTACCAACGTCATCAAAACTTCAAACATATACTTATCTTTAGTAATGACTTCTAATAGTCTTCTTTGTGCGATATTCTGACTACTACGATCGACGTCTTCGTGTATCGATACTATCTGACGCTATCGCTCTCTTACTACTTTACTTATATTACCTATAATGACTACGATGGTACGAATACTTTGGACGCTAGACGACTAGGATATTTCTTACTTCTTCATTATACTACTATTCACTACGTACTTACTGACTACTACTATCGACGACTACTACTCTCATCTACCTACTACGACTTCCTCTTATAGTACTACTGTACGACTACTAGTCTACTACTTCACTACTTACTATATACTACGACTACGACTACTACGACTACGAGTCGACGACGTCGTAGTCGTACGAAGTCCTCGACTTATTTGACTGACGTCTTCATACGTCGACGTACTACTACTACTAGTACTACTACTACTACTACTACTACTACTACTACTACTACTACTACTACTACTACTACTACTACTACTACCACATCAACATTATCATCAACAACAGCAACAACCATGTTAACACTGTTCGTTCTGATCTGCTCGCGCGTCATTCAATCTGCATATCCCAAACTCGGGATACCCGCCCTTTCGCCTTCGATCGTAACCCCTTTTTGAAAGGTATATCCATTTCCCGCCACGCGTGGTTGGTGAAGCCCTCGAGCACGAAGGGCAACAGATAACGGGGGAAAACGATTTGCGCTGCGAGTGGTTATTCAGCTTGCGCCATGGCTTGCGCCAGCCACCCCAAAACAGGTTAACAATAAGTTTCGCCCTGGGTCGCGCCATAAACAGCGCCACGAACCACCCATTGAAAGAACAGATCGTGGATACCCCCACGGGGGGTCGTATAGCTGCGAACTGGTGTCAGAAACAAATTTCGTGGAACCCCGAAAAGAAGCGGGATGTTGGTAGAGCGGGGAGGAAGGATAGTGAGAACTGCACCCGTGTCGAGAGGAGCGCGGGGATGTGGAGCGGATTAGGATGGAGTGGACAAGAGTAGGGTCTCAGGAAGAGGAGCGGCAAGGACTGGAGAAGAGGAACCAGGAGGAGTGCGGAGGGACGGGGGGCACACGGAGGAATCTGGAGGAGGGACTCAAGACTTCCCCTGATAAAAAACAGGGTGCGAGCCCCGGGAAGGGCACTTCAATCGAAAAAACAATGTGCAACGGACGGGGGGGATCAACAATAATTATTCTTCAGAAACGAGAGTTCTTTAACAACAACAACAACAACAACAACAACAACAACAACAACAACAACAACAACAACAACGCAACAACGACAACATCAACAACATCAACAACAACAACAACAACAACAACAACAACAGCAGCAGCAGCAGCAGCAGCAGCAGCAACAACAACAACAACAACAATCATTTTACCCGAACGCTCAGTGTTCTCCCCAGTGCCAGGGTTTTCTTGCGACACCAGCCAATACCCCCACTTCGTGGGGGGGCAGTTCAAGCTCTACCAAATATCCAAACGACTCTTCGAGACCACCCACACCCAGCTTCCCGCCCTATGACGTTGGGACACTTCACTTCGTGGCGTGCGGACGACCCTGGCTACTACACTGGCGTGGGGTACACGCCCACAGAGGTTGATCACATCTGTTACATATGATGTGGTACACGGTACACGTGAGATGGTACGCAGTGCCAAGATAGTTGGTCACATTTTTGGGGCAAATTCGTGGGGATGCGATTACAGAAGTACATGTGTTACACTGATGTTATACAGTCCCAAGGATGACGCATGCTTTGCTCATAGACTCATGGCGCTATGATCCTAACTCTCAGTGCCCAACGCGCGCGTGCACAGCCAGACGGAGGGAGAGAAACACATGTATACAAGGTTCGTGACATACGCACGGTCCAACATGTTGTAAACGATCGCATGCACGGTAAGTTCTGAAATTATACGTATGTACAAGCAGACATGCGAGGGAGAAAGGGAGATGGCCATCGACAGTTCCAATACGGCTCCAAGGCGGAAGAGGGGGAGGAGGAGCAGGACAAGGAGGAAAGGAGAGAAGCGAGAAAGGAAGAACGCAGACGGCGCGGCTCTGGGGCCATCTTGCGCGCC